CTTAAAGCCAGTCACAAGTTGGCATATGATGATTACAATGAGAGAGGGGTTTTGTGAATATTATAATAATTCGATAGTGGAATTCATAAGTCAATTAAATCTAGACCATCATAGAAAACGTAGAAGCACTGGATGGCCGTTTCATCATACTATGAAACTCCTCAGCATGGAGGATCCATCTAGAGGAGTTAGAAAACCCTAATTCCAAACCAATCGTGCACATGGGCTCCATAATCCTGAAGGAACAAATTCCATATGAACTAATCGTTGGTTATTGTCTATCATGGGATTGTATCTGTTGACGTCGATGCATTGCTTAGTGGACTAGACGTTCAAGTTGAAGTCTCCGTGTGTAGCCCCTTTAGAAAATCACCTGTTTCGGTTTAGGCACTCAGGCAGTTTCCCAGCACTCACATAAATCTAATGATTTATGTGACGCATATTTATTTGGTGCGTTTAAATAAAATAGAATGAAAATGGAACATTCATTACCTAGTTTGTGCTCGTTTGACACTATCTAACACGTCCATCAATCACAAAGTGAAAGGGAACTTGTGGTCTTCATGTATTGAGATATTTTTGTAAGCAATTCGAACCACTGGCTTGAACTGAATTCGCTGGAGTTATGGACATTGATGAATTACTGTTGAGTAATCTTTTCATCCATTATGATTGGTGCTTAGATTTTCATAAGAAAATCAGGACAAAACCAGTGATACTCAAGTTTCAACGGCTTCCTAACAGATGACAGCTCCTTGTAAAGGCTATTCACATATAGGACAATAAACACTTTCTTCGAAATTACATTATTAAGCATGTGATATATATTTATTGCCGTTAGTAGTGGAGTTCAAGCAGGTCTGTTGTGAGATAGATATCAACTCACTGAAGACAATGGTGTACGGTGGCACAATTTCGTGGATTGGTTGAAGCTAGATATTAACACCGATATGTGCCAGTCGGCTCAATGTTCTAGTTGGTTAAGCTCGTGGCGCGAGACTGATAGCTCCTGGGTTCGAGCCTTGCGTGGTGAGGGATCGTGAATGCGCACTGCTGAGGAGTCCCCACAATAGGACGGAACGGCCTTCCAGTGCTTCCAAGTTTTCCATGGTGGTCTAGCTTCAATTAACTCATGATTTCAATCAGTGAAATTGTTAATTGAGTAAATTCTCTAGTTTGTTATTGATTACCAAATCCATAATTTACATATTAACTTCGTGCAAAACTTAGATAAATTTAGACATATAACAGTCTAGATAACATCACTCCTTGTTGAAGATAAAAGTCTTCTGTTCGATTTTTGATGTAATCATGGGTGTACACTGTGGAGGAGCTTGAATGCTATGACAAGACATCTACTCCTTTATTTATAATCCTCAATAGTTATGTTCTGCAAACTATATTGTTTCACTATTTACTTACATATGCTATTAACTGGTTCCTTCTCTTCACTCATCATCAGCTAATAAGCACAAACAATCTTCATGGTATTGTGGAGTTGTGTATCTAGGTATTTATTGCTGAATCCAAGTTGTTTAATTTTAGCTTTAAACAGGTTTTCTGTTCAAATTAGTTGGCACCTTGACAACTAATTACAAATATTCTTCATGAATATCATTCTGCGAATAGTCAAAAGGGATGTGATGATTGAATGACATAAGTTATGTCTTGTATAAATAAACACATTCATGTGTTGAATGGAATGAAAGAGAAACTGTATCACCATTTTTTGTTATTATTATGAATTGGTATTTCATTTCTCTAACTTTATCATTGTCTTGACTTGACTTATGTTAAACTACTGTTTGTTTAGTGTTGGGTGGACTTTAAATGGACATTCCCTATTGGCCATTATTTATTTCACTCGTTAAATATTGTACAGATGTTGTTTTCTATTTTATGGTACGATGTGGTTTGTTTGATTGATATATAAACAAAGTATGTTTGAAATATAACGATTCATAACTCAGAAGCTGAGACTTGTGGTTTGGACTCAAATGGCTGGGCTAAACAGCGAAGCAGGGCCAATCGGGACTCTAGGTCGTTCGTACATGTTTTACGTGTCATGGATCCGGTCGATAAATACGCTGCTATCTAAATCTGCAGTCGCATGACACAACAAGTTAGTTGGAGGATTATCAAAATCTTAACACTTTGTATAATTCATTTGGTATTGTTGTTTTACTTGTATCGTCCCATTGATGTTTAGAATTGTAATTGGCATATGTGCATCCTGTGTGTATTGCTTCGATAATGCCTTAATTCATAAGCATTATAAGCAAAGATGGATAGTGGCTAGAAGTGGAATCCACGACTCGAATTTCATCTTATTTGGGACTTGTTAGTTGGATGTACCTACATCCTACACTTGTTGATGTTCACTCTAAGACTCGAACCCAGTCAATTATATTACTTCTTCGTACTAGAAATGTGATGAAACAAGGGTTTGTTCCTATCGAATTGATAAATTTTAAAATGAAAACTTACAAACAATCATACGCTGTTTTATTCATGAATGATGAAATTGGATTCTCCACAAATCCCCATTCCGATAACGATAATAATCATCATCATATGCTCACTAGTGACTAGATTCAACAAAGATCTTCTAAACTTCTAATGAGAAGCCGTAATCAATGAAGTCAAACCCGAGTACAGTATAATACAGTTATCAACCTCAAACAATACATGAAAGATTGTTCAAGATCAAGGATCGATTGAAATTAAACATGAACACTGTTGGATGCAATCGAGTTCAATGAACTAGAAATGAAGTGTTCCAGTCCGTTCATTGTGCAATCATTGATGCACACTGTTGAGGATTATATATGCAAGAATGGACGACATGTATATTATCAATAACAAGCAATCAGAAATGATCAAATTGGAGTCATATATCAGGCTGTGATCTTGAGTAACCCTTCACACTAATAATGGTAATCATATGCTCACTAGTGACTAGTTTCAACATAGATTTTTGTAGAGTTCTAGTACATAACCGTGACCGATGGAGTCTAATCCGTATGTGAGGACGTCAGACAGTTATTCATCTCCGACAATAGATGAAAAGTTTAGCAAAATCTTGAATCGATCGAAGTTAGATATTGACACCATCGGATACCACCGACCCAATGACCTAGAATTTAAGCGTTGGTTCATGAGATACAAGTTCCTGAGTTCGGTTTCCATGTCTGCATCCATGGATGAGCACTTCTGAAATGTTTCACACTAGGACAAGACTGCTGTTCAATACTTCCGGGTTTCTAATAGTGGTGTAGTTAAGAATGATTCACAGATTCAATTGTTAAAATCCAGAGAACATTATTATGATCTGTACAGACGAAAATACTTCAGAAGTAATGTATATCTATTAAACAATGCTTGGCTTGAAAAAATATGTATGTACGTGTATACGTTCTCACTTCACGATAATAATTGAACCACTAACATTTCTCAAATGAACTTTAAGCTATATATATATATATATATATATATATATATATATATATATATATATATATATATATATATATATATCGTGGATGCGCACTGCTGAGGAGTCCCACAATAGGACGAAACGGCCTTCCACTGCTTCCAGGTTTTTCATGGTGGTCTAGCTTCAATTGATTGATGACTTCAATTATTGAAATTACTGAAATCTCCACAAAACCCGTTCTGATAATATGTATATGTACCGTTATATCTAGGACTTGAACTGCGTACAACAACCACTCGAACGCTTGAACCCTTTATGTTATAAAGTAGAAGTCAAAAGACGAGTAGGATGGTATCTTATTCCAAACAGTGTTAAATATAATACAAAAACACTCGGGTATTTCTAGTACAGGCTGCAATAAATAAAAACACCTAGAAAGTGTTTTTCAATATTCACTATGGATTCGATCTATATACCACATGGATTTATGGACAAATAACATAAAGTGAGAATGATGCACACATCATTATTCTGTAAGTGTCATTAATCCATTATAATAAATGTATTGCATTGAGGGTAGACCAGCAAACTTAAACATGGTTACATTCATATATAGGAAGAGTATTTATTACCATAACAATAAAAATGATACAAAAGTTTCTAACATTATTGTACCTGGATCCTGGAGAATAAATGAAAGGTAAAAAATAAAAAATAAATCAGTTTATCCTTACAAACTTACGCCTGTTACTCCCAATCGAGGATAGGTTGCTAATCAGCATTCTGCAACCCACTCTGTCCTGAGCCTTTCTTTCTAGTTCTATCTAATGGTTGTTCATTGTTCTCGTGTTTATCTCCATTTCTCAGTGTAATGTGTTCTTTGATCTTCTTATTCTTCTTCTTTGGTCTTGAGGATTCCATGTGAGGGCTTGCCTTGTGATGCAGTTGGATGCTTTCTTCAATGTGTGTCCTATGCACTTCCAGCGCTTCTTCCGAATTTCTTTCTCCACTGGAATCTGGCTTGTTTTTTTCCCATAATAGGTTGTTACTACTAGTGTCTGATTAGTTTATTCTATTTACATAATATAAATAATAATAGTAGTATTTTCATCTAAAATAATCAAAGCAAAGGTCAAATTGATCATATTAAGTCAATAAATAAAGTAATAATATACAATCGAAAATCAATAGAAATCAATATCCAAATCTTGTTACATCTGATCCATACAACAATTTCTCTTTATATATATCGAATAATTTTGATTGATCCTTCTCCATGATTTATTTTAACCAATCAAATTAATCTTCACAAACAACCAATCAAATTATTCTTAATGAATAACCAATCAAATTTCAAGATATTCATTTGCTGAAATTCTTCGAAGAATTTTTTCAAATTTTTTTGATTTATACAAAAGAAAGAATTATATCACTTAACATAGAAAATCTTTTAGATTATTATGGATTACAACGAACATTTTCATTTCATAATATGAACGAATACTATTCAATTGTTTCATGAATGTAAAATATCTATTTTCTTTTGAAGGGATCTAAATAGACAATGTTCAATTATAATAGTTCATTAAGAATGATACAAGTGAATCATTCATTATTTTTTCCTATGAACAATAAAGTTTTAACACAATTTACAACGGAACCAGTTGAAATTTATTTACCAAGTATTATTACTTCAACTATATTACTTATCATTATTTCTATGATTGGAACAATAGGTAATAGTCTTGTTGTATGGGCATTTACAAAACAAGTTAAACAAGGTATTATTTCTGGCTTGTTTATTCTATTATTGGCTTGTAATGATTTATTTATTTGTCTTATTGTAATTCCATGTACATTATATTTAGATATTTGGACAGGGGATACAACTGATTGGATATGTCGTGCACATTTAACAATGAAAGGATTTGTTGTACCTGTTTCAGCATGTATATTAATGTTGATAGCAATGGAAAGATTTTTATTAATCTGTTTCATTCCTGGTATACAAATGCAACGTACACATATTGTATTATCATTAGTCATTATATTTTGCATTGGTTTATTATGTGCTATACCAATGGGATTACATGTTCGTGCAATTGATTTATTTAAAGAACGTGATGAATTATTAGATTTAAATACATTGAAATATGGATTATCCACTATGGAAAATGTTATGTCCTTTGGTCTGTCTACCCACTTTTGATGCTAAGGATACTTATCTAATCCAGATTAAGACCTTGGCGCGATAAGTTGACCGACTCAAGCTTAAGGCTAGTACGCGTGAGTTCGTAGTGGGGTAGAGAGAGAAGAAAACTATTCTATCATCTGACTGGCTGACAAGCACGCGGATGAGAGAAGACAAAACAACTGGAACACTACTCGATCTATTCCCGGATTAGTGTAAAAAGGTACATGAATAAATAAGTGAATAACCAGACCACAACGTACAATAATTAGGAAAAATACAGTTATGTCCAAAGCTGGGGAGTAGATAATAGGGTGCAAAATATTATGTTTAAATTATAATAGCTTCGGAACAAAAAAGGGTATGACAATGAATCATACATCGAACGAAAGTTCATGTTCTGTAAAATAAAATAGGGACAAAAATAAATGTTACAGTTTTAAAAGCTTTGCATAAAATGAAATAACGTCCCGAAGAAAAATAGCTTCTGTAGTTTGTCAGGGCTTCTTGTTTACTTGTTCACAACATAAAATGAAGAATGGCTTAATCAATTACGTGTTTCAAAACGATGCGATAAAGATGACACATACATTAATGATCAGTTATACTGGTATCATCAAATTTGTGTACTCCTGTTATTTGTAGTATTATTTCTTGGAACAGCTGGTGTATATGCACTGATCTTTCTATTTGTCTGGAGGCATGAATCATTTATGTATGAGAAATATGGTAATCCAAAAATGAAAGGCAATTGGGTACGTATACATGCTACACCGAATTCTTCAGGTGATATAAATGATTCCAAATGGAATTCAATTAAAAAACGAATATCATTTCGTAAAAAGTTAAAAGAATCAAATGATTTACAAAATGAACAAGAAGATAAACAAAATTCTAGTGTCTTTGAACATGAAGAAAGACAACAATTGGAACTTCAGGACCGTCAACAATATGGACAGAATTGCTTTGAACACTTGTCTAGTTTATCATTACCTCAGCCATATCTAAAACAACAAACTTTGGGAATTCATCAACCTCTAACAGATATGACAACATCGACAAGTTTTGTCACATCTAATTTAGACAGAATAAGTTGTGTGTGTTTATGTGAAAGAGATAATAACAATGGATTGATTAAAACTAGTCAGTGTTCAATTCCTAAAGATAAACTATTCAATGACAATAATACTGATAAAGATAATGAAGAGTCACATTGTTTAAAGCCACCTGGCAATAAGAAAACCCAGTGTACTATAGAAATAAATAATCCTCAATTATCAAGAATCGAATTGTCAGCGGCTAATCTAGAACGTAGACGTAAACCACATGTTCGTACAGCTCAAACATTAGCATTGGTTGCAGCAAATTTCATTATATCTTATACACCATCTCTTGTTTATACAACAATGCCAATACAAAAAAGACAAGTAGTTCTTTTAAAAGATAAACCACATTGGACTATTCAAGTAAGACGTATACTATTTTACATGTATTTCATTAATTCTGCATTGAATCCAATCATTTATTCTTGTATGAATAGACATTTTCGTGTTTGTATCATAAAGTTTCATTGTAGTGTCGCTTGACATGTCAGGCCCCTATATTCCTTATTCTGGTTTTCGGACAGGTCAATCTACTCATTGTACTTGAGTCTTATTTTTACCGTGTTAATTATTCGCTTACCAATCTTGACTGTTTTTATATGAGCGCATATCTGTGTGTACATTACTTATCCTATTTATTATATGTCCGTAACTTATTTTTGTGTGATTATAAATATTGATTAACTCTTGGTTAAAACGGAGTTGGCTTACTAGCAAACTCCACTCTGCGTCTTTTCTCTTCGTTCTGTTCCATTGGCTTTATATACAAAATATGTGTATTCGAAAGTCCATTCTCGTTATCTGACTCATTTAATTCCGTTATTGACTAACGCGATTTAAGTCGATGATTATATACGAGATTAGGCAACATAGATATATTCCAATAACAATCATTCATTACGATCACCTTGGAGTCAGATCCTGGGCCACTAAAGTCGAAAAACATCTTCCGATCTAACTGGTGACAAAATAAAGGGCTCCACTAAAAAAATTAAAAGACAAACATCTAAATCAATAATAAATGATACCAATTATGAATCGATTCCGTTGAGTAAAATATTCTCTCAAAATTTCATACTACTGATTGTCCATTAGTAGTGTGGTAGTTTGGCAGGTTTCCTTGTTTTCTGTCATCCATGGAATTATAGTAATTATGATGGAGTACTGTACTTGTTATCAAGGCCATTCAATGACCCATTGTATGGTTTTAGCTGACGAAGTATAAAAGTTGAAAGTTTCTCCATTTGTTTACGGTTCATCTGTATTATTCAATTGCAAACTGTTATCATACGGTACGTCCTCAACTGGTTTTACCCAAGATCAATTTGTGACATAAAGTCTATGACAGTTCTACATTCTCCACAAAACCACCCAATGATTATTTATTATTGTTTAAAAGAAAATTCTATGGGCAGAAATAGATTAGTCGTGATACTGAAAGGTCATTCATTCTATAATAAATTATTTCATGGGTATATATTAATAACATATCTCACACTAGGATAGAAAATCTATATTGTAATTATCATTATAGGGTTGTGGAGATTATTAAGTTTTTTGATTGAGATCATAAACCGATTGATGTTAGACCACTACTGGAAACCTAATAGCACTGGACAGTCATTTCTTCTTGTTGTGGGACTCCTCAGCAGTGCACATCTTAGATCCCGCTCACTGGATTATCTGTTGTTCAACCGTACTTGAAATCACCCTTTTTCATGGTGAATACTAATATTAACAATGATAATAATAATAATCACAACAAAAAGATAGAAGTGTATGGGAAGTTTGTTCAAATGAAATAAGGGAATAATAAAATGAATAGATGATTATATTATATTAAAGTGAATAAGGTGTGATATTTGACTGACATTACCATTTATAAGAATGAAATGAAATGATAAATCTTCATGTAAAGATAATCATGATTACTGCTATGAATACATCGTTAATCAAAACCCCTGGTAGACAATTGTGGGTTCTTTAAAGATTTCACTGTACTACTACTACTACTACTACTACTACTACTACTACTACTACTACTACTACTACTACTACTACTACTACTACTACTACTACTACTACTACTACTACTACTACTACTACTACTACTACTACTACTACTACTACTACTACTACTACTACTACTACTACTACTACTACTACTACTACTACTACTACTACTACTACTACTACTACTACTACTACTACTACTACTACTACTACTACTACTACTACTACTACTACTACTACTACTACTACTACTACTACTACTACTACTACTACTACTACTACTACTACTACTACTACTACTACTACTACTACTACTACTACTACTACTACTACTACTACTACTACTACTACTACTACTACTACTACTACTACTACTACTACTACTACTACTACTACTACTACTACTACTACTACTACTACTACTACTACTACTACTACTACTACTACTACTACTACTACTACTACTACTACTACTACTACTACTACTACTACTACTACTACTACTACTACTACTACTACTACTACTACTACTACTACTACTACTACTACTACTACTACTACTACTACTACTACTACTACTACTACTACTACTACTACTACTACTACTACTACTACTACTACTACTACTACTACTACTACTACTACTACTACTACTACTACTACTACTACTACTACTACTACTTACTACTACTACTACTACTACTACTACTACTACTACTACTACTACTACTACTACTACTACTACTACTACTACTACTACTACTACTACTACTACTACTACTACTACTACTACTACTACTACTACTACTACTACTACTACTACTACTACTACTACTACTACTACTACTACTACTACTACTACTACTACTACTACTACTACTACTACTACTACTACTACTACTACTACTACTACTACTACTACTACTACTACTACTACTACTACTACTACTACTACTACTACTACTACTACTACTACTACTACTACTACTACTACTACTACTACTACTACTACTACTACTACTACTACTACTACTACTACTACTACTACTACTACTACTACTACTACTACTACTACTACTACTACTACTACTACTGAATATCGAACACAAAAAATCGATACGAACATATATTCGACTATACAAAATATCAGTGATATGTTTAAGGAATATGGATCATCATTTACCGAGTATACTACAGGCAATACTATAGTGAACAAGAACCCTAATGGGGACAGTCGAATGTATTTAACATAAAATTACAGGACTTGTTAATTCAATCTAACAATCAAATAGTAAATATTTCATTTTCGAAATGTCCATCGATTGTCTCAAAATAACTCGGACTTCATTGTTCTTACATTTTCATACAAATTGCATCCTGTTTCCATTCTTTACTGTTCGATCCCATTGTCTATCTGCTGACGCCACACCTTCTGTTCACGACTAACATCATCTACTACTTATGTCAATATGAATAGCATACACCACAATACTTATTACAATATTACAGTTCATCTTAGATACATACAAAATCCCTTCATTTGTTCTCATTACATACAATAATCTTCACCAAAAATTAGGTCCCAACTTATTTCATATTTAGCCCTATTATTATATTTTCATTATTGTTATCAACGAAGAACTTTGTTCAGTATTATATGTTTGATGATAGTAAATGTTATAATTCTCCCTTATTACAACTCGACTATTCATACTACTTAGTATTCTTGGACACTGATTCACTTGACAAGTCCACAAATCAGAACATGGTTGAACAGGAAAACCGATTATATTCCAAATAACAAGGTTAGATGGAAGTAAGAAGAAGAAGCACAAAAGGAAAAACGTTTGTGTATATTTATAGTTTTTACATTGAGAAGATTCTAGAATGTTATCCAAGTATCGACTAGCGTTGATTGGATAAGTATTAACCTACAGTCGTCTTGAAATACACATGAATGGAGGGGGGTATATAGGAACTATCATTGTTGTACTTCTTGAGTTTCTCGATAATTCCTTCGATTTTCAACTTGTTGTTTACACTCAGTAGCCTTCATATAAATGGACAATATTCAAGCACTGCGAGGACAATGACTTTATATGAGACTAGTCTAGACTCTCTCACAGAAATAACGAAACATATAACCTATATGTTTATATGGCTTCTATCTGAAAATTTAGGTCATTCGAGTATTTTGAGTCAAGGTTTAAGATAGTATCAGTTTTCGTTATTGCCATATGATCCACTTGAAAATAAAATCCCAGTTTGTTTCATCCGATACTAATCCAGCTATATTTGTGTTGTCAAAATGAAGTCGTTACTTTTTACACCATACTAGCACATCGTCTCATTCTTTTTGAATAAAATCAGTAGTGCTCTACACTTTGTCTCTGCAGTATGAGTAGACCACTTTCAGGTCATAAGCGTACAGGACAGATTTCACCAGATTAAAGCAGATATACGCAGTACGCTGTACGCAGTTCAATTCCTAGATATAACGGTATATATACATATTATCAGAAGGGGTTTTGTGGAGATTTCAGTAATTTCAATAATTGAAGTCATCAATCAATCGAAGCTAGACCACCATGGAAAACTTGGAAGCACTGGAAAACCGTTCCGTCCTATTGTGGGACTCCTCAGCAGTGCGCATTCACGATCCCTCACCACGCAAGGCTCGAACCCAGGAGCTATCAGTCTCGCGCCACGAGCTTAACCAACTAGAACATTGAGCCGACTGGCACATATCGGTGTTAATATCTAGCTTCAACCAATCCACGAAATTGTGCCACCGTACACCATTGTCTTCAGTGAGTTGATATCTATCTCAAAACAGACCTGCTTGAACTCCACTACTAACGGCAATAAATATATATCACATGCTTAATAATGTAATTTCGAAGAAAGTGTTTATAGTCCTATATGTGAATAGCCTTTACAAGGAGCTATCATCTGTTAGGAAGCCGTTGAAACTTGAGTATCACTGGTTTTGTCCTGATTTTCTTATGAAAATCTAAGCACCAATCATAATGGATGAAAAGATTACTCAACAGTAATTCATCAATGTCCATAACTCCAGCGAATTCAGTTCAAGCCAGTGGTTCGAATTGCTTACAAAAATATCTCAATACATGAAGACCACAAGTTCCCTTTCACTTTGTGATTGATGGACGTGTTAGATAGTGTCAAACGAGCACAAACTAGGTAATGAATGTTCCATTTTCATTCTATTTTATTTAAACGCATCAAATAAATATGCGTCACATAAATCATTAGATTTATGTGAGTGCTGGGAAACTGCCTGAGTGCCTAAACCGAAACAGGTGATTTTCTAAAGGGGCTACACACGGAGACTTCAACTTGAACGTCTAGTCCACTAAGCAATGCATCGACGTCAACAGATACAATCCCATGATAGACAATAACCAACGATTAGTTCATATGGTATTTATTCCTTCACGAATATGGAGCCCATGTGCACGATTGGTTTGGAATTAGGGTTTTCTAACTCCCCTAGATGGATCCTCCATGCTGAGGAGTTTCATAGTATGATGAAACGGCCATCCAGTGCTTCTACGTTTTCTATGATGGACTAGATTTAATTGACTTATGAATTCCACTATCGAATTATTATAATATTCACAAAACCCCTCTCTCATTGTAATCATCATATGCCAACTTGTGACTGGCTTTAAGAAGTATGTCCTGGAGTTCTAGCGAGAAACAGTGAGCAGTGGAGTTCAACCGGGTCTGTTGTGAGATAGTAACTTAGTGTGGAACCACAATACATGTCAAACTCAATAACCAGAAAAGAATTAGTAATCTATATCATATTGCCTAGATATTGACCATTCATTCAGATAGGCTATACTATGTAAATCAAGAGTTGATGGATCAAGATGAGATATGTTCGATTTAAACATTGAGATTTCCAGGATAAACTTAATCTTCAGTAGTGTAAATGCTACACTTATTACTTATCATTCTGAAGATCTTCCGTTTTCATATTATTTAAACATTTCACCTTCAAACTTCACTATTCTCCTTTAAACTCTATTTTGTTGAGCTTGTTTTCTAATGTGGGATAACAGATGATGGATTTTGACACGAAGTTCATTCATCCATTTGGATAAATTGAGTTTTGACATTATAACTGATATCCGTTCGTGATGAAAAGCCCATAAATCTATATCCTTACCTTAATCATCAACTGCAAAATCATAATTCTATTCTCCCATACTGGTTTATAATGCTCATTTGATCCTAGTTATTAGGTGGACACATTCAAGGTCACTTTAGTGTCGCTTAAATTATAGTTTCACCAATGTTTCATTCCTTCCCCTGTTTAGGATGTAGATGAAGATCGTTTACCATGAACGATGTTGCCTTGAGATGATCTTGAATCATTGAATGATAGAATTTGAAAACTGCTATCGGTGATTTATATTTTCGAAATTAAGTGATAATATTTATGTCACTATACCGAAACATCTTTATCTATGCGTTAAATGGTTTCCAAGCTGAAACTCCTGAGAGATCACGGGTCACGGTCAAAGAGCTATCTAGTGCCTTCTGATTTTCTGAAGTTCATCAGCTGATAGTTAGGAATAAGTGGTATCTTCAAATTATATATACGTCTACACACACACACTCACACACCATTTACCTAAGTAAACACATAACACCGCGAAACCCAATTAATTATCAAATAAATGGTGCTTGGATCTTTAATCTCTATAAGCCTAATTTTTCATTCTAAAAATTAGAAAACAGGCAATTTCGAGAGATTGTTTTAATTATCTGATGATCTGTTGAGGTCGAGAGTGAGGAGAGTCAGCTCTCCCTCCCAAAATGCTCTCACTTGGTCACGTGCATACAACCACTGCTACGGAAGTCCTACTCACTGCCTTCTCGAAGTGGCGGTGTTGTTTACGAAATTGAGAGGAAGAAAAGCAAATGTCCAGAGCATTATTCAGCTTGATGGATGTTTAGGATCCACCTGGGGCAGTTGCAAAACCTTGATTCCGAACCAATGGTCCACATAGGTTCAAGGATCGTAATGGAACAAATGGGGTATGAACCAATTGTTGGTCACTGGTTACCATGGGACCGACTGCATCCACTAAACTCGCTCCACTGCCTTGTGGATCAGACCTCAAGGTCGAAGGCTCCGGGGTATGGCCCACTCACAAATCAAATGAATTATGTGGTGCATATGTATTCGGTGCCCCTTTGTACTAATATTAATGTGTTTAAATAAAAATAAACTACTGTATAAGAAGGCTGCCAGTTCTAGACCGAGCTGACGTTTCTCAATGTTCATTTGAATCATGATATCAAGCAACTGTTCACATAATATTTCACGTAGATACCCATTCTCATTCTCTGTCTGAATCACTTCATAAGAACGAATGGAGTTTTGTCAGACACCTCGATGTTTAATGCTCGTCAGTCTAAGAGGTCAGTTAGAGTTCACCGAATGAAATAAATAGAATATCCTTGACACTTTTTCAATACTCACACACCCTGAAAATGTGATCGTGAATGTAAGTTTTCGTCTGGTGGAAATCAGTAGTATTGGAGAAGAACACTTCACTTCTACCCGAAGTTTGTGCTGCTGATGATGTCGTTCAGAAGAATGGTGAACAATCCACGATCAAACCATCCAACTCAGAGAACAAAACTCCATCAACTTCATCTTGAATTTCTTGTTATTTGCTTACGCTGATGATCATTGAAAGCATTGTGATTCAGAAAGAACATTTACAGATCAACACAACTCAGCAGGCAATGTGATTGTTCGATTTACTTGAAGCCAATCTCTCTAACTATTTACTTCGAAAGATTCAGATCAATTAGCGGAATTGTTCGATCAGTTGAATCTCGATGTGCTTCTTAGACAGACTACGTGATCCTGATTTAACGGTTCACCAAATAGTCAAGTCTTCATGAATTTCCTACAAAATAGAGACAACCGATACCTTTGCACCATTTTTATATAGGAATACCAGTATTCAGAACTTTGTACGTGATAAATAAAATGTGACTGACAGTTTGATCCAGAATGACCGTTTTCTTCTCATTCTAAACTCATCAGATGAGTGTAGTTACATCTCGGAGTTATCCACTTAGTTACCGATGCCAGATAACCACTCACTCGTGCATCAGGTATGAATTTCAGTTTGCTTTGTAATATGATTTTGATGCATTCAACTGACAAGTCTCAAATACAACAAAACACATATCTTGGAGAACATTGTTAAACTCGTTCTATCTTTATCATAGAAACCTCTGACACAATGTCCATATAGAAGATGATATACATGTGAACTGAAAATGATTAGAATTTGATTGAAGTATCAACCATGGAACTACCATAACCATTACAAATGAAACCCGACCGTTGTTTCTACCTTCACGTGGTGGTCGGACTTGCCTATCGTGATGAAACAATGAAGCTATACTGGCTGGAACAATCGTTCCTCAAGATTCTACCATACCAGACAGGTCTGCTGAAGAACGGTAAGACCAATCGCAACAAACCCAAGATCCGAGCGCGAAGTCGTACTGTTGACTGCACAGGGGTGTGACAGCAGTAATGTGTTTCCTTCAGCCCCCAAATGCCCTGGTATGACCGAGAGTGGGGAGAGTCCCTTCTTCCTCTCGAAATGCTCTCACATGGTCACGCGTATATAGCCTCTGCCAAGGAAGTCCTACCCACTGCCTTCTCGTGGCAGGGGTGTTGTTTACAAAAATGAGAGGACAAAAAGCGAATGTCCGTCAGGCGCTTTAACCGGATTCCAAACCAATGGTGCACATGGGCTCCAGTATCCTGCGGGAACAAATGCTGTATGAACCAATCGTTGGTCACCGGCTTCCGTGAGACTGCGTCTTCTTACGATGCTTCACTGTCTTGTGGATCAGACCTTCAGGTCGAAGGCTCGGGGAGTGGCGCCGTATGAAAACCACCTGCTTCGGTTTGGGCACCCGGGAAGTATCACAGCCCTCACACATATCGAATGAGATTTGTGTGGCGCATATCTATTTAGTGCCTCCTTGTGCCAATATCTACGTGTTAAAATAAATAAATACATAAACCGTCATCACAGCGATGCTGCCTTCCCACAAGTAGATGTGGGGTTAGAAGTGGTCCATCCTGTAAATGCACACCTCACCTTATCCCACGGATATTTATCTCCAGTGGAAAGTTCTCAACAAGTATGGAGCTAACGCGAAAACTACTCACACAAAAGTCGTGTGTGACTGACTTCAAGCAGTTCTTCCTTAGGCATTGCGGTCACGCTCTCAGGTCACTAAGACCACGCCTAATCCAATTTCTCTTTCAGGTACCTCCAGAAGAGCACTTCCACGGTGTGGGCAACCGTGAAGTGATAGCCGCCCTCATATCTATAACAGCACTCAAGACCACTGTATTAAAAATGGAACTAATCATTCAGAATGTTATCATCATCCTTCAACTCTATTCACAAATGAATCATCAACAATGTCATCTATACTAATGTTTTACTTATAAAATGAAAAATAAAATAAAACAAAACATAAACAGTACAGTACAGTACAGTACAGTACAGTACAGCACAGAATAGAATGAGATCTTATAAAAGAAATAAAAACACTAACCAATAGAAATTCAAGATGATAAACAATTAGAACAAGAAAAAAACAAAAAAATATAAAGGAGAATCATTGAAATAATCGATAACAATCTTGTAAAAAAAAAGAAAAAAGGGAGAAAATGAGTGAGATAAATGACGACAACAACTACAACAAAGAAAGTGTGATTATACTTCAAATTAAATAATTAATCATTCGTTGTCATAGAAACAAACATGGGAAGTAAAAAATCGATCAGACACGGATTTTTTTGTGTGTGGATATTATTAGTAATTTTACTAAGTGAATTGATAAGTCAATTGAAGTTAGACTATCATGAAAAACATGAAAGTAACAGATGGTTATTTCATCCTGTTGAGGAATACCATACTAGAATGAAATGACTATCTAGTACTTCCAGATGGTCTAGTTTCAATCAAGTCACCAATCCAACTACTAAACAATCTATCATTGAATTCATATGTCTTGACTCATTAATTAGATTACAAGTGATTCATATTGCATTGTGTGTATGTGTAACTATATATAGATTGTATAGAAGATGTGTGCAACTAAAATAACTAACTCTTATCATTCTAGCATAGCACTACAAACGAGTTTGTTTCGAAAAAACGGCGTTATTTAATGATACTACTTAAACTGTTTAATAGTAGTATCATCATGATAATAAAAAAAGAGAATGGACATGATGATAAAAAGATGATGAATTTCAAATTAGTTCTGCTTTTCTTTTCAATGAAAGACTTCAAATCTGACCACAGAATGCTTAATAATAAATGAATGATGTATTTTGAAAAAAAGTGTTTTTGTTCTCCTTCATCAAAAAAGAAGAGAAGAAAATAATCTCCAATATGAAAAGAGATTACGTATGCATAGCAACAACAAAAATTATAGGGATTGATTAAGATCATCAATCAATTGATCAATTGATCACTATTGAAAGCCTGAAAGCACTGAATGACCAGTTCTTCATCGTCTGATCAGTCCAGGATGGCTATCCAATGGTTCCAGGTTTTCAATAATGATCTAACATCAATTGATTCATGATCTTAATCAAAAACAAACAAAATGAGGCACTTTCAATCATATTAATAATGATCAATTAATATTGTTTCAATGGAATGCGAGAACTTGAATAAGATCTTGTTGATATAGGTATTAATGAGCCATGTCTCAATTTACTATTTATAGAAATTAATGGATTAATTTGTTTAGAATGATTCGATTGATATAAATGATCATCTATTACATAATCATCTGGATGTCTTTTATTCTCTCCTGATGTATATACAATTTGTACTGGTTTATTGATTAATTGATGATTGACTTGTTTACATGATGACGATGACGACGACGACGATGCTACTGCTGTTGCTGCAGCTGCTGACGCTGACGCCGATGTAGATGTAGATGATAATTTACGATTAAACATATTAGCTGATTTACTTCTACTTTGATTTTGTTGATTTCTACTCTGATGATGATGATGATGATGATTATCATGATGTAACGGTGATGATTTCAATTGTTGCATTGTGGATTTTCTTTCTGTTACATGATGACTTTTTATTGATTGTATTCGATGATTATGAGTAGTATAACTATTCCTAGTAAATTTATTATTATTACTTTTACTACTATTCTTATTAGTAGTAGTATCATTCATGATAGGCAAAACTGAAATCCTTTCAACTGGTCTTGAATTCTTTCTATCAATTGATTGTTTACAATTTATATTTAATGAATTTAATGATTTGGATAAATTTTGATTATTATGTAATCTATTCTCTATTGGGTTCTGATGTTGTATAGAATTACAATGTCTACTATTAATATAATAAGCAGTACTACTACTCGTTGTAGGAGTAGTAGTAGTAGGAGGAGTAGTAGTATTCGGGAAACATGGTCTATTTACAATATATGGTTTCATATTAGATTTATCTAATTCATTTCTTATGATAGTAATAGTTGATTTTTGTTTAAGTAGTTTATCAGTAGTATTGAATGGTTTTCTAATCAAACTATTCTGATCTGTTTTAGAATCATTATTACTATCCTTATTATTACTATTACTATTGCTAGTAGTAGTAGCAGTAGTAGTAGTGGTAGTGGCAGTGGTGGTGGTAGCAGTAGTATTAGTAGTAGTAGCATTAGTAGTAGTAATGCCATTGCGTAATGACTGTATCTTATCAAAACTTTCATTTGACCAATCTTTTGTAAGATTATCATTGAAACTAGTTTCTTCAACATCTGTTGATGAATTGGTCGGATCTTTCATATATTGATCAGCGATAATAAATCGTGGAAAATGTGTAGAACAATTCAAGTCGCCATCATCAACATCATCATTATCATTATTCAATGAAGTTAAATTGAGTTCAGAGAAAAACTGTTAGAAAATAGAAAAGAGAGAAAATATGTGTAAGTTGTTATATCATTTATTATTTATCATTTAGTGAACTAATGAAAATCAAAGAAGATTAGAATTGATGTTTCGTTGAAATATAAGACTCTTCAAATATATACATTGCTGTAGGGGTAAATAAATGCTCAATATCAATAGCTCTGTAACTCTTCGACATTGGATGCTAACCACATTAGTTTTAATGGACTCACATAGTCGAAGACGCTCGGCCATGCATCCGCACCAGATTATGAGTGGGAACGTTGTGCTCGACATCCTCTGCAATCTTTAGCCAGTTTAGATCAGTCGATTCACGATATATTGATAGCCTATCAAATATATCTTCGAACCTCCTCGATTCCGACATTTGATTTCACTTGGTGGGTACGATGCATAGTAGAAGGTATTACTGGTTACAGCGTTGTCAGACTCCAAACACCTGTGGCATCGTCACGGTTATATCCGGATGAGAAAAGTGGATGGTAACTGATGGGATCTATCTGTGGATTGATAGTATATATATAGTCCTATTGTGTAACTGTTCAGCAACTACATTATGTATATCTATATTCCTCTTATTATACGCTTCATTTTGATCCATAGACTATAATGATATGATTTACGGTTCTTGAGTTATAACTAGTCTATTAATTACAGTCTCCCACATTCACAACCACATTTGGCGAGAACTATTTTATGCTAAAATGTGATCTGTTTGGTTTGTATATAAACCCAATATGTTTGAAATATATGAATAGTATCACGGAGGCTGAGATTCGTATCCTGGACATAATAGGCATGTCTAAGCAGGAAGGAGAACCGATAAGGATTCTAGACTGATCGTATGGGTTTACGAGTCATTGGTCCGGTCTATAAGACACTGTTCTGTAATTCATAGTAACATTACTTTATATACATATCGATAGGGCACAAAGTAATAAGTCATAACATACACTCACTATCGATAAAATTCACATCCAAAAGTTAACAGTCTATTAATACAAGGAATCAGAATTATGATTTACACTTGTTGGTTAGGTTAGGGTTAAGAACTAGATTTACAGTTTTCATTATGAACTGATATCAGCTAAGATGCCGAAATGCTACTCACCCAAATGGATGAATCAATTTCGTATCAAAATCTAAGACCTCTTATCCTAAATTTGATTGCTTCGTCTATAAACTATAGTCTTGACGAATATTCAATTTATTACTAAGGTTTAATCAACATATACTCACAAGTGACTGGTTTCAAGAGGTATTATCTGAAGTTCTAGCGAGAAGCCGTAACCAATGGAGTTGAAACGGGTCAGTTGTGAGATATTACCCTACTGAAAACAATATTGGATGTATCTCTCAATTTCGTGGATTGGTTGAAGTTACACATTAACACCGTTGGATACCGGCAGGTTTAGTAGTCTAGCGTTTAAGCGTTCGCGTATGAGAATCGATAAGTCGTGAGTTCAAATCTCCCGATGCGGTATCGCAGATGCACACTACTGCTGAGGAGCCCTACAATACAATGAAACAGCTATCCAGATTTCTCATTATAGTCAAACTTCAATTAATTCATGATTTTAACTACTAAAACTTAATCCATATTGGAAATATTTATCGAATACTTTTTATACTACTTACTTGTGATTTAGTAAGACATTTTGATTCTTCTAAAGATTTTTTTAGATGAGTCTGATTTTCATTCACATTTTTCATTGATTTCATAAATTCTGAATCAATTTTACGATTCAATTGTACTTTCCCATTAGAACTATCATTATCATCATCATGGTGATCATTATCTCTATGTGATTGTTTCTCCTTAGTTACAGATGATGTACGTTTTTTTACCACATTCAATTTACATTCTACCATGTTTTGAGTTTTATCTTCATTCAATTTGGAATTCTGATTCATTGAATTTAATTTACATGATCCTACTATAATCAAAGGAAGAAAGAAATTAGAAGAGATACGTTTTAGTGATGTGAAGTATTTCTTGGATTCAGATCATTAATTGATGAATGTCAGATCTGGAAGTATTGGATAGTTAGTTGTTTTGTTCCAGTATGCGATTTCTTAACAGTGAGAATTGACGAGCTCGTGCATGGGATTCAGACTTAGAACTTTTGGTTATGCATGTGGACGTTCAACTTTAATACCACAGATCCGGTTTTAGTATCTCAGTCAGTCAGTCAGCGACAACGTAGGCCAGGCACGTATACACATCGGTCCAAGTTCACATATCTCATTAGCACAACAAGATCAACACCAAATTCACAGAAGTAGTTACTTCAATGGTAGTAATATATAAAAGGAAGACTTGTGAAGAAATATGTAAAGTAATTTTCATCTCATAGATTAAGGGAAGTTAACGAGTGTATACACGGAGCCATGTCACACATAGTCTCCAACCATTGGTAACGATAGTCACACGGACCCCAACCAAGTAGTCTGCATCTACCAACATGACACAGATAAGAAGTTAGTGACTTCAATGACTGATGCCAAGTTTTGATTTGGCCGCCTCTAACTTTCTTCCAACCAACTCCAACACTAGTCAGAATTGCGCGTCCTAGTAATCGATGATTCGGCATACGTACCACGTGTTATTGTCTAACATCAAGCAATCCGAAATAGTGGATACACACTCTTCAACAGCCTCATACTAGAAGAAAACAACCGTCCGGTGTTTCCGCGTCTTCAATGGTGGTCTAACATTCATCGATTCATGATCTCAACCAAAAATTAAAATTGTATTCATGACATTAAATCACCAAGTTAACATTCATCATGTTCATGTAATCACGTATCGTTAACTTCCTGATTCTAATGTGATGTCATATCCTATATATGCAGACTGTGAATTATTTGATATTGATTCAAAGACTGAATGGTGTCATACTTGTCAAGCAACTAAGATTTCTTGAGGTTAATACAGTATATAACTCCGCCTGCAGCCACTCTTGGGTTACAGCTGGTCCCAAGCCCGGATAAAGGAGGAGAGTTGGGCATGGGGATAGCGACCATATACCATGAAAAACTTACTCGATGAAATAACGCTAATCAGGAAAAATAATTCAAACCATTTAAACTCTGTTTTGGGGTCTAGAAGATCTTCAATTAGAAGAGTTATGACGCCTCATGATGAAAGCCGAATTCCTTCGGAAGTCACGAGGCTGATGCCCCTTCTAACAACCAGATCAACCATTAATTTAGGTACATGGAATGCTTGTACAATGTGGGAGACCGGGAGGGTCTTCGAAATTGCTGCAGAAATAATACTGTGTATAGTTATAGGTTGACACACTTGGAAATCTTAAACTAGAACATAAATACATATTCAGTGTTTGTTAGATTTCACTAGTTCTTCAAATAATGTTACTTCATAATGAGAAATGTCTTTACTTGCTATATATATTACTGAGATTTGATTGAAGTAATTAATCTAGACTGTAAGAGTTCAGCTCAATAGTCTAAAGTTATCATATTGTGGGGATCATCCACGGATAAACTCGAAGATGGTTTAAGAATTTCAGAAAGAAACGAAGATATCTCATCCAATTATCTTTTAGAAGAATATTCCAGAATTTCTATATGTAGCTTCCCCTGTGTGCGAATTGGATAACCATAATAAGGATTTCAGTTTTACTAAAAACTATAAATACCTGACAGTTTTGTACTATAATTTGACACTGTCTAGAATAACACTCCTTTCATTAGTCTTCTGTCTTCTCATTGCCACTTGGAAGGATTCTAACGTCCAAGTGTTCAAGTTATACGTGGTACAATAAGAAACGAAGCTCTAGATAGAACACATAGTCTGCGAGGAACGTGAAAAGATGGTGATTTAGAGATTGATCCCATTGTAAGGTCTAATGAATCCCTAACTAGAAGTAACTGTCTATTTAGTATCCCCGAAGTTTTTAATGATCCTTTGGTTGATAATTTCTCTCTGAATTCATATACTGATTTACCTTCTTAAGAAGCAACTAACCAAAAAGACCAAAATGTCCTACTAATTAAGATACAAATATATCAATCTTTATTGCTTCATATATGCCTGTATATAGTTTTATTAACGATTTTCTGATCTTTTAGTGAATTATACAATACCTGAGAACTTGAACATGGTGGATCTGATACAGATATGAATGCAAGGATAGGCAAAGCAAGAGCAGTATATCTGTAATTGAAGAATATCTGGAACTCAAAACAACTGTCTTTCAATCTACACCAAAGTCACGATTTTCAATACAAATGTCAACATAGTTCTACTGTATGGGGGCGGAAACTTGTAGAACTACGAAAACCATCATCCACAACATACAAGTGTTCGTTGACAGTTGTCTATGCAAAATACTTTTGATTCGTTGGCCAGACACTACACTATCAGCAACAACCTACTGTGGCAGAGAACAAAGCAGAACAAAGTAGTGGAGGAAGAAATCAGGGAGAAGTGCTGGAAGTGGATAGGACACACAATGAGGAAAGCACACAACTGCGTCACAAGGCAAGTCCTCATCACTCGTAATCCTCAAGTCCAAAGGAGGAGAGGAAGAAGACTAAAGAACACATTACGCCGAGCAATAGAGATAGACATGAGAAGAATGAACAACATTGGATAGAACTAGAAAGAAAGGCCAAGGACAAAGTTGGTTAGAGAATGATGATCCATTGGGGGTAACAGGTCTAAGTAAGTACGTAAGTGAGAACCGAATCTAATGACCGTCGTCAAAAAAATCGAAGTTACCATAGTTCTTCAAGCAACGTTATCATACTTTGTTATCGGTAGGATTGATGACATAAACTCAGGCAAAGAGAACACACTAATCTCAATTAATAAACATATAATTACTATTACTAACCCTACATCGTTAAAGTATGATCTAATAACATACGAAATGTAAAATGTTTTGATACAATCAAACAAGCAAAGCTTTGCAAAACTTCAAAACTGAATAGAAAGCATTCTTACATGGATTAACTTTACGACATTCATCGTATTTTGATAAGAAATGACTCAGTGTATCCCAGCCACCACCAACTCGAACCATCACATGATTTCTCAGTATCTAAATAAAAGAATAAAATAGGTCTAGTTGAAAAGATACAACACATCGAAACAAACTTAAATCATGTTACGTAACATTTTAGATGTCAGTCATTGCCATGGAGGCAATGATTCACATTAAGAACTCATGATGAATAAGACACAGATTTACGTAGAAAAGTCGATATAGTGAATTTAGCCAAACCGATCTACAGAATCAACAATTTATAGTGTTTAGATAGGTGTCATTTCATCTTTACTCCTCAAACGGTTTTGACTATTCTCATTTCATAACTTGAACAAACAGATCAAAACATGAAACTTTGTTATAATCATAACAATAGTTATATCCAAACACATTTCAGTCGCAAGGTGCGGGATAGTGGATACTCACTATTGAGGATTTACATACAAGGAAGAAAATGGCCATGAATTTAAGTATTAAATTACGAAAATCTTCACAAAATCCCCACCTGATTAAACGGATACTTTTTGAAGTGAAAATTTGAACCACTGAACTTTATTTAAGTAGTATAACTATTTCCAGATAATTTTCATTGAGCAACTACTTGACAAGTACTGAGAAAGAAACATTTATGTATGTATATATATTTAATGACATATAGAAACAAATTGACATTGTAACCTATATAATCACCGCTAAAAATCAAAACTTCGCCATAAGAGGTTCATTAGAAGTGAGTAAAAAAGATGATACGTCATTTCTTTCAACAATTACAAGTAGTGTTACTAGTATTAGTAGTAGTAGTAGTAGTTCTAATAGTAGTAGTAGTAGGAGGAGGAGGAGGAGTATGAGTAGTAGTAGTAGGAGGAGGAGGAGGAGAAGGAGGAGGAGAAGGAGGAGTATGCTTTGATTTATATAACCTATTAGTAGTTCACAGCATGATCATGACAATTATAATTGATGGTAAGTATAAACCAAAATGCTTGATCAGATATACTTAAATCAGATTAGTAATGACATTGTTAACTCATATATAAAATGCTTCAATAAGAAATTTAATTGTACTCAAATTCTTGCCAGTATACTTATCAACATATAATCAATTAAGTAATATAGACCATTGAAATGGTTCTCAAAAGTATACTCACTGTATGCGCATTATTTATGTATATTTCATTCATTCATTCATTCATTCATTCATTTAATAATTCGGAATGACATTATTTGTATTGAAGTAACCGAATTGTAATGAACACAATGGAATTTCAATATAATGATTACTACCCCCCACCCCACCCACACATACACATTCTTGTAGTGAACAAGAACATCGGTAGCGACAATTGAATATATTTAAATACAACATTGTAGAATCGCTTAGTAAAATCTGAGAAGCATAAAGTGAATACTTCATTGTTGTTTTGTTTCTACACTAATCATTCTTTGTTCTTGTTCTCATTTCATCACTGAACTTCTTGACCTTCTGCCGTTAGGCATTTCACTTTCGATTGATGACACATACTACTTATATCTGTCAATATCAGTAGCATATACCACATTCTTAGTGACAAGAAACCATCAATAAATTTTAAACAAAGTGCTTAACGGATTTAAATGACTACTGAACCTGCCGGCATCCAACGGTATTGATGTCTAACTTAAACTAATCCACGAAATTGAGCAACACATCCATCATTGTCTTCAGTGAGTTAGTATCAAACAACAGAATCGGTTGAACTCCACTGATCACTGCTTCTCAATAGAACTCCAGGAAATACCTCTTGAAACCAGTCACCATTATGCATATGTTGTTTAGTATCAGAAGGGGTTTTGTGGATATTATAGCAATTTCAATGGTTGAGATCATGAGTCAGTTGAAGCTAGACCTCCATGGAAAACCTGGATGCCGGCTCAGTGGTCTAGTGGTTAAGCGTTCGTGCACACATTTTCATCTTGTACAAATCTAGGAACTTAAAGAGATGCCTGCATTTTGAATTATTCATTATCATCACTAATTTGTCTAGTAGTCACGGGTTCATTTCATCTTAACTATTCACCTAAATAGATTTTTAAATCACTTAAACCAATCAAATCACACGGGAAAATTAACTTGGTACAATATCAACAGATTTATGTTTGTAGGTGATTATCTGTTGAGCAATTCAAGTAATCCAGTCGAGCTATTGTTTCCTTAATACGGATAGTCGGAAGTCTGTCAACTCTTATGTGATCACTCTACTCCAGTCAGAATATATTATATGAAAGTTTCGTGTAGTATTTCTGTGAAGAGATGTGAAATGTCAACAATCAACTGGACACTATGATCAAGATCATCTAAGATAGAAGAAATCCACAGCTTATCACACTAATCATTCCATTCGTCACTTTCTACATTCATTTGTCCTCCGTCTCTTGTTTACAAATGTAATCTTATATGTTGTAATTCAATTTCGCTCACACTGTATCACACTAATGACTGATTGGAAACTCGAGCACATTAACGATACTTTCATAAAATAGATTCATCGTAAAATCGGGAGTGTCTTTTAGCATCAAATGAAAGATGTAGCAGCTTTCTAACCAGGGTTGTTGTAATAACATTCTTTTAACGATCATAACAATCACTTTCGATTTTTGTGCATTTCTCCAACATTCGCTCATTTCCAGGCAGAACTCATTCATGTGTTTCGACTCTTTGATTGATTTCACATACATATAAGTACTGATAAATAGTCAAATATTCAATCAATTTCAATGGTTAAGATCATGAGTCAGTTGAAGCTAGACCACCATGGAAAACCTGAAAGCACTGAAGGTCCGTTTCTTCCTATTGTAGGACTCCTCAGCAGTGCGCATTCACGACCTCATCCCCCGCGAGACTCGAACCCAGGACCTACTGGTTTTGCGCGCGGGCTGTATTGATTAAGGCATTGTTTAAGCTAAATATATATTTTTTATTTTTGTTTATCTATCATGTACCTGTCATAAACTGATTCAATTTTTATATAGAGTATTGATAGTATATTTAAACAAATGGTAATAGAATCTTGGTAACAGGTTATATTATAGTAATATATTGTGAAAAATAGAAAATAATCGAATTGTTGTTATTATCCGTATAAGGTTGTGGAGATTATTACGTTTTTGATTGAAATCATGAAATGATTGATGTTAGACCACTAATGAAAACCTGTAAGAACTGGACAGCCATTTCGTCCTATTGTGGGACTCTTCAGAAGTGTGCATCCACAATCTCGCTCACGGCATTAGAACCCAAAGCCTTCAGTCTGACCGTCCTCAGTACAATGGAAGATGTTTGCACAATTTCGTGGATTGTTTGAAGTTAGACATTAACACCGTTCGTTGCCGACTCAGTGGTACAGAGGTTAAGCGTATCTCTGTACAAATGTGGTATGGCAACTTAAACTCATGTACACATGTACGAAGTTCTACGTTGTTGACTGACTTACTGATTGAAACACATTCAGTTTGGGGCTGTGAACATTGTTGAATTTCATTAGAATCATGAACCGATCTAGTTTAGACCGCCATATTAAACCTGATAGCACTGAAGTAGACAAAAATGTGCGCTTTATTGTAAACTGGTCTGGACCCAATAATAGTTGCTTTCTCATGCTGTGATTTTATATTCACATGCAGAAGGATATTTTTCACAGAGAGCTAAGAGATAAACATTTACCAATTGCACACATAGAGTATCAAATGCTGCTGTTAAAGGAAGTCGACCTACATCAGGTTGGTAAAAACCCTCTACATTTCTCAATCATTACTAATCAATGATTTCCATTCAATCTTGTGGTAATAACAACTTCACTTCTGTAAAAATAACGTGTAATATTGTCGTCAATACAAGTCAACATATATATATTACTTACATTCGATGAAAATGTACACACAAGGAAATCTGTCATTGAAAGTGCAATGATGTCAATAATTGCATTATTCATTGAATTAACTGACATCCGCATATTCATATTAGCTGACTGCGATCTACCTCGGCTACCATAGACGGTGTAGTTTGGATAACTGTAGGGTAGTTGAGTAAAAATATTCGGATGATCTGTCGACAAGTAAACACTTCGCTTAGCTTGAACAGAGTTATTTGTTCTAATGATTCTTTCAGAAACTGATAAGTCTTGCGGATTGAACGCCATATTCGCTTCCTAAGCTATTCTGTAACCCTCAAGCTAGAACTATACAGTGACCTGAACAAGAGAGAGAAGACTCAAAGTATGTGAGAAGTAGTTTACTCCAAGGTTCATTTTAATACAGAAAATACAAGGTTTTTATAATATTATAAATGTCTTTGGGTTGCTCGAACATTCTGGAATGCTACTAAACATAGTAGCAGTGTAGCAACCAGCCAATCAGAACGTCTATATATGACGTTTCGCTTCCTTGATATTTTTTGGCAAAAATTTCAAGCAAACGCTGATTGAACGAAACGCATCTTAGTGATCTCTGATGCTTGCTTGTCTTTTGCAAACAATTTTCTGGATCACTCCAACAAAACAGATCCAAATCTCTCTACATTCATGTCTGAACAGTTTCAAAAATGACAAATTAGATTCATTCCGTATGATAATAATAATAATAGAGTAGTCGGTCTGAATACGAAGTGATACAATTAGATATAATAGAACATTGGAAACATTTCCTATTCTCACAACACACAATTTCCACTCATTCAAATCGAACTCATAAGACTAAAAATAAAGTGAGTTCTCCGTGAATATTTTCATGTTGTCAATCAGCAACTCTAATTTGTCAATGTTGTTTCTTGAATCACATCTATTACGGTAGTACCGTACAATTTCAATAAAGAATTAACTGAAACATACATCAGTGATAGTCAACAGATTTATAAGAATGTGAATATAAGTTATTAGCTGTGCATAAAATATTGAGCAGCATAATGTTAGACACCAAAACCTCAGCGGAATAAAAATGGCGGTGTAAAACTGAATCTACAGTGATATATAGTCTGTTGAAACAATCTCACTTGGTCAGTTGAATCCAGTCATGTTTATTATTGGTCTCAACTTGTAAGCAGGTGCAATGAATAAGTCGTTTTTCATACCCTTTTGGTTTTTATTATGTATATTTTCACTTGATTGCTGTGGTTTTACTAACACTGAACCGTTCCAGTTAATTTGGGAAATTTCCACTACATCACCATACTTTAAATTTACCTTCATATCTGGAATGATCACATCAAATTTCATTCTTTTGTAATCTTCTTCATGGTAAAACTTATCGATTGAATGAAATAATTGTGTTGCATCACCCAAATCCATATGACGTGTTTGCATTAACTCATAGGCTAAACGACAAACCTAAGAAAAATAACAATAAGATTATATATGAAATATGAGGATATTCACTGAGATTATTTGAATATTTCATTGAATTTTGTAGATGAATTGTAACCACTATGTTTTCATGGATTAAGATTTTGAATAAAATTTTATAAAACTGTTGATTGTAAAATAAATACATTCAGTTTGAAGTGGTGGAGATTGTTGAGTTTCATTAAAATCATGAACGGATCTAAGTTAGACAGACATTAAAACCTGGCAGCACTGGACAGCTGTATCGTGCTAGTGTGAGAATCATTGGCAGTGAGCATTCACTAATGACTAGCTTCTACAGGTAACATAATTAAAACAGTTTTCCACGACTTGTGAAACACATTGAAACAGAAATCTCCATATATATATGTCAAAGGCTACGGATTGCTTATTGAATAAACTTTTCAAAAATGGCAATGTAGTTATTTCATTCTCTGTCGGGAACAATAATCACAGACATGAATTAATACATGAATCCTCAAAACATTATTCGCTTTCTACTTGTTATAGCCCAAAGCCGTCAATGAGAAGCTGTGAATTATCGATCGGACCAAGGATGCGTTAAACACGTGCGAGCAGCCTAGAATCCTACTTTCCACCTAGCCCAGCCAGTTAAGTCCAGAACACCAGCCTCAGCTTCTGCAATATGAATCCTTATAGTTCAAATATACTGAGTTTATATACCAATCAAATAGACCACATCGTACCAATAAAATAGAAAATAACATTTGTACAAAATTTGGCCAAATGTGGCTGTGAATGTGTGAGGCAGTGACTAATAACAACTTCACTTCTGTAAAAATTAATGTGAATTCCTTATTCAAACTTGCTTGTTCACTTCAAATCCCAGTCAAAACAGACAACGTGTAATATTGTCGTCAATACAAGTCAACATATATATATATTACTTACATTCGATGAAAATGTACACACAAGGAAATCCGTCATTGAAAGTGCAATGATGTCAATAATTGCATTATTCATTGAATTAACTGACATCCGCATATTCATATTAGCTGACTGCGATCTACCTCGGCTACCATAGACGGTGTAGTTTGGATAACTGTAGGGTAGTTGAGTAAAAATATTCGGATCATCTGTCGACAAGTAAACACTTCGCTTAACTTGAACAGAGTTATTTGTTCTAATGATTCTTTCAGAAACTGATCCAAATCTCTCTTCATTCATGTCCTAACAGTTTCAAAAATGACAAATTAGATTCATTCCGTATAATAGTAATAATGATGATGAAGTAGTCAGTCTGAATACGAAGTGATACAACTAGATATAATAGAACATTGGAAACATTTCCTATTCTCATAACACACAACTTCTACTCATTCAAGCCGAACTTTTAAAAACAAAAATAGAGTGAGTTCTTCTTAGTTCATAGTTTGCATTATGGTCTAGACTCAATTAGACAGCAGTGGAAAACTAGGGTGAATAGAACAACTAACTCGTTTTATTAAGGGACTTTATCAATGACTCTCTTATGGAATAAACTCAGTATATTTCAGCACCACAAATAAAGTCGAATCTTTAGACAAGTGAGCCAAGATCGATTCCTGAACCAAACATGCCCACTGCTCACACACTTTTAATGACCGTCAACCTGAGATTGAACTGTAATGTAAACAATAAAACTTCACAGCCTCAAATCTGCAATAACAAGCGAATATTTCACAGCATTTTGCTTTACATGTTAACTAACAAATTGTTCTCAAATAATCTTTAATTATTATTTAACACTAAGTCACTACTGTTTCTTATTGAACTGATATCATAACGTTGAATCATCATTGTATGTTAATATTCTGAAAAACTTTCAGGATAATGCCAGTGCATCCCGATGAAACTTTCCATGTTTCCTTCACACTACAATAAATGAACATAAGTGTCAGAATTACATTTCTCAATGAGTCAGTTTTGATATTTGTAAAACCTCATTATCAAAACATGCAGACAACTAACCACTTGGCATTATCATGTTCATCTTGCTTAGAATACTGATTGATTTTAATATAGTGCAACTTTGTACTGATTAGCTGGGGAATTTAACACAACATAATACATTCGTCTACAGTAAACCTACTGGAATGTTCAGTAGATTAGTTAGCAATTTGCAGAGGTACACATATTCAAATGGAATGAATAACTGAAGGTTTTGATACTAGTAGGTTAAATCATCGACAAAGTGCATTTGATCTGATTGATTTGCTAAAGCAATATCTTATTACATCTTCATTATAACGTTTTAAAATCACGGAAATCATATGACATGAAGACTGACTTATAACAGTAGTTACATATTTGGCTAGCAGTGGAATCCAGGATGGGTGTTACATCCTATTTCGGACTCGTCAGCTGGATGTACCCGCAAGCTTGTGACCTAAGACAATATCGATGCAGTCCGCACACGATGCACATATGACAACAAGAGACTAATCATTTGCAGTCCTAGATAACAATGGGGAGATACAAGTAAACAACACCGAGTAAATTTAGTACTTGCATATTTCCTAAATTCATGATTTTTTTCACGGCCATTTATATTCGCTCATTACATGATGAGCTTATTTTTCTAAGATTAGTGACTGAGTAATCAACGATTGCTAGATGTTGAGGATGTGTCATGAATTAAGATAAGAACTTATTCACGTACTTATAGTCTGAGATTAAGAATGGATTATATTCACATTACTGTATGTCTTTGGATTATTTGTATTGTGTCATTTATCTTGATAATAAACGAGTTAGAGAACATAATGAAGCTTGCCTGAATAAAATTATTTAACGAATAAGATTGTTTATTATTCCATATGATATTGAGTTAGCTAGGAAGGGTTTGCAAAAAAGATAAAATATTTCGTAAATTGAGGTGATAACCACAGAGAAAGTTACATACTCTGTGAAGGTTGTACGCGGGATACTTGATATGGAGTGTAGATACACAAAGTTAATTCACTTATTTATTATTTATTTGAACACATAGATAGTGGTACAAGGAGGCACCAAATACATATGCATCACACAAATCTCATTTGATATGTGTTAGGGCTGTAATACTGCCCGGGTGCCCAAACCAAAGCAGGTGGTTTTCTTAGGGGGCCACTCCATGAGCCTTCGACCTGAAGGTCTGATCCACAAGGCAGTGGAGCAACGTAAGGGGATGCATTCTTATGGTAGCCGATGACCAACGATTGTTTTATACGCCATTTGTTCTCTCAGGATACTGAAACCCATGTGCACCACTAGTTTGAGATCTGGTTAAGGCGCTGGACATTCGCTTTTCGTCCTCTCATTTTTGTAAACAATAACGCCGCCATGAGAAGGCAGTGAGTAGGACTTCCCTGGCAGAGGCTATATACGCGTGACCATGTGAGAGCACTTAGAGCAGGAGAGCTGACTCTCCCTACTGTCGACCGTACCAGAGCATTTGGGGGCATTATTGTCCCTAACTGTCCCAAATCACCACGTTTTGTTTACAAAACACCATATAACACTACAATTTATGTTATCGTGATAACCAGTGTTTTATGGACGGTACACCTTACATAATTGCTTCCTAACATCTTAATTGTTTTTGTAGTAGCTGAAATGAAACTTGTGCAGATTGTTGAATATTATTTTAATCACGAACAAATCCAAACTGTACAACTACTGAAAACCTTGAATAACCGCCTTATACTGTTATGGAATCTACACGGATTGTAGTTTGAATGGTTGTGGAGAAGTTGTGTAAAAGCCTTAGAATCATCTGTCGCCAAATAAACATTTCGTTTTTACTGAACACAGTAACTTTTTCTAATAGATTTTTTTTCAGACAATGATACAAATCTCTCTTTATTTATACCCTAAGAGTTTCAAAAATGACAAGGCAGTTTCATTCTTTTTAATGATAATAATAAAGTAGTTGGTCTGAATGAGATAAGATAAATTATAAAATTCAGTATCTAGTATCATTACTGTAAACTTCAGGCAGAAGTAGGTTATTGGAGTTTCTTCACTTGCGACAGAGAACTTGTCCATCTTGGCGTTGAATGGTTATTGTTATCCTTCTTATTTTGACCTGATTCTTGATTTAGCCTGTTTACAATCTTCCTAATTATTTGATGAATTGGGTCGGTGTCTGTTTGTTTACTTATTCTCAACTCAGCTGAGTTCCAGAATTATCTCGTTTCATTTGCATTCTTTTTATTCAAAATAACAACACTTTTTTTTAGTTTGACATAGCTACACACTTGTCCACATGCCTTGAGATAAGCAAACGCACATGACGACGTTTGACAGCTAGTACGCGTTTATGGAGGTGAAGATGATAAAGAAATCTGATTTGTTAATTGAAGTTTTATTTGTAGGAACAGTTCAACTACTAGAATAAGTTTGAAATTTCTTCTTTAGTCATTTCATGCTTTGATCAGTTCTAGACACTAACTCTTCATATATTTGATTTATAAGGTCATGTACCTGTTCCTTTTCATATTACGAAAAGTATGGCCATGCACATCAGTAAGTTCATTTTTGATGCACATAAATTATACTCACTTACCTTGGCCTTCTACATGTAATTTTCATCCTTCCAGTTGTGCTCAATTTCAATTTTATCATTCACTTCTTACTTAATCTGTTTAAGTCATTGAATCATCTAATTATACGTGCATCCATTTTACGAATTATATATTCTTATCATTAGAGAAAATACTGAGATTCATAGTTAAGCTGATCAACTATCATTTACCTACTACTATACTACATACTAATGAAGAACTAGAACTCAAAAAACTCACTTGAACAGAATACATCTTAATTCACTTGATATTGTTTTACTTGAATCTTCTCATTGATGTTTTTGGACTGAAATTGATCAGTCTCTTATTGGCATATGTGCATACTGTGCGTATGCCTCGATATTGCCTTAATTTACAAGCATTATAAGCAAAGATGGATAGTGGCTAACAGTGGAATCCAGGACGCGCGTTTCGTCCTGTTTGGGACTCGTCAGCTGGATGTACATGCATCTCCGAGTTGATGTTCACTCTGGGACTCAAACTCAGTACCGTTCGCTTCAAACGCCATCGCGTTATCCACTTAGCTACTGAGTCCTGACGAAACATGGGTCCTGGATTCCACTGTTAGCCACTATCCATCTTTGCTTATAATGCTTGTAAATCAAGGCAATATCGAGGCATACGCACAGTATGCACATATGCCAATAAGAGACTGATCAATTTCAGTCCAAAAACATCAATGGGAAGATTTAAGTAAAACAATATCAAGTGAATTAAACTTCAATCCATTGCACAAGCAAGTGGCTATCAGGACTCAGTAGCTAAGTGGATAACGCGATGGCGTTTGAAACGAACGGTACTGAGTTCGAGTCCCAGAGTGAACATCAACTCTGAGATGCAGGTATATCCAGCTGACGAGTCCCAAACAGGACGAAACGCGCGTCCTGGATTCCACTGCTAGCCACTATCAATCTTAGAATACATCTTAATTCAATTTACATTTGATCAAGTACAACACATCATAATGGATAACACATTCATTGTGATTAATCATGAATTGAAATATGATCAATTACTTAACGAAGTTTCATTTATTGTTTAAATACAACTGAGATCATCTTATTGACTTACATGTCTCTTTGACATTGTCAAGAGATGAACACTTTGTAAATCAAAGAAATTATCCACGTGTTCCATGTACTCAGATAAGTCATGAAACTGAGCTTCCCAAATTAACTACAAAAAAAGTACATGTGCAAGACGTGATCATTAGAACTTTCAATTTCGAAAATATTAAACTATAGTTGTCAAAGACAAGATGCTCCAAACTCAACCTCCTTTATATTTTCATAAACTTTATACTTCATGAAGTATTTACACCAAAACCTTTAAACTAGATATTTCTACTCAATTTCTATAGGTAAAGTCAACTGGCGAACTGACCCTTGATACACTATTCTCTCATATGAACTTCAAATCTATTTGATAAAGATCATTGAAAACAATGGAGATTCAACCAACACAAGAAACTTCGAACTGAGTATGCAGAAAGACAAACCACACTAGTTGAATACTCACTTATAGCAGCGACAACGTATTGACGCAAAAATATGATATTTACAAAAACTACACAAAACAGTAAAGATTTTAAAGCATCACAGGGAAAAGAAACTGGATGCATTTCGGAAAAATGATTTGATACAAAATATCAACAAGGTATGTCTGTTAAAGGTTACGTCAAATAGAAAAAATAGAATTCGGTGAAGAAAATTTTCTAAACGACGAAATCATTTACTTAAGCTGTACATTCGTATATATAGTTATGGGTTATTTTAATAACGTCAAATACAAAATCAGTACTAAACATCAGCAAAGGTGGGAATTCTACTCTATCCGAAGAATATCAGCAAGATCACGAACAGCTTTGTAAGACTATAAGAAGTAAGTACAGCCTATAAGCCGGTACAATATTTATTGTAAAAACCCATAGCTATAATGACAAATAAAAGAAAGGGAAACATAAAATCCAAGAAAAACTGCAACAAATACGACACAGTGAAAAGCGGTCACACTTTTAGTCCATTCCTGTATGAGCGTTGGTTAGCCGTTATTCGCCTTGACGTAGATGTGCTTATATAAATGTTTGTGGATAATTTTTAGCGTAAATCAAATTGGGGAAATGTCCGAACTTCGACAGAAGAAGCACAAAAATCTCAGAGAAATTTAAAAAGCCTGAAACTTTACTCAATTAGCAGGTGTATCGAAATCAACCGAATCTACCAACCAGTATTCTGTTGAGCAGGATGATAATGATTTCTGAATAACCAGCCCAGTTATCAAAAGTATTTTAATCCAAAGACAAAACTGGAAACGTGTCTTTCATTCTCAACATTCACTGTTTAGATTCTGAACAACCAAGTGCATCATACTATATTCTGACAACGTATATGAACAAACACTAACCTTATCGGTACGCCTGATATGCACACCAACAACAGGATCACCACTCGTTTTAAAGCTCTTCAAGGTTACATTGATTAATTGTGCAAATTGTGGTTTTGGACGCAAAATGTAACCTGCTAGTTGACCAGCAAACCAAACAAAGGGTGCCTCGTGTAAACGTAATAATTCTTTATTCATATCTATCGGGAGAACATGTGGCAACCAGTTATGTACTTGGGGAGCCTTTACAATCCAAGGACAATTGATGTTATCTGAAGTAAACAAAAGAATGAAAATATTTTTTTATGCTTGATAAATTGTATGGTAATTTGTAGATCGACTGCCTACCAACTAACCATATTAGCTGATTTGTGAGACGGAACCTTACTCAGTTGTAAAAGGCGATTGAGTAAGGTTCTATCCATATTAGTAGGAACAATGGGACATGAAATATTACTAATAATAAGGGTTGTTTACTCGTTCTTTCACGTAGATAGTAAACAACTTTATGTTATTTCATGGGTTCTAGTCAGTGATTTATTGTATTGTGTTGTTTTGTCGAAAAGTAATAAAAAATATTCAACTAAACTGTTCAAGACAATCACTGGGGTCTGACATTTACAACAAACTAATGATAAATACATCGTTTACACACCTAATCTACCATCTGAGTCCAAATAACTGCATTTGTCAGAAAGTGGTAACATGCTCTGATGAAGCCATTCTCGAAATATATCTCCATGATAATGTTTCTTCAATACTAAAACACGTTCATTTTCAAGAGCCAATTGTAAGCAGTACATAAGTTGATGCATGTTACAACCCAATCCACATAAATTAGTGAAGTCAAATGTCATATATTTGGCCTTTTTACAATCTGATGGATTCTATATGTATATGATCAAAAAGGTAAAATCCAAATTTTTGATTTATTAATAAGAATCAAATACATTGTAAAATTGATTAACAACAATTTCATAGATACAAACATGAGAATGATTTAAAGGCTGATAACGTTCGTCATTAATTTTACATTTGATACATTTCGGATTATATTTAACGAATACATTCTGATCTTGTGGTTGTTGTCTGACTTGATAAAATCTGAATATCACTTGAAACCTATTTCAATGTGACTTGATCGACTAACAACATAACTATAGGGAACTATTTAATCCAGGTTTAGATAATCTCGACTAAATAAGAATCGATATTATTGATATGCAGATATATATGGTGGTGATGATTGAATTATTTACTTTATATCGTATCATACTGATACTTGTGTCTCAGTTTTCAATTGACAGATTGTCGTATAGGTGACAGTGTAGTGACCGAGAATACAAATGGGGACAACCAAATGAATTCGAATTTATGTTTCACTTTTCAATCGATAAATGGTCACATAGATTACAGTGCACAATAATTGTTTATTGGTTTAGACAGAATCATAGATAGTCAGTGTAGGAAGCAATTTCCTACAAGTGTAACTCTAAGCTATTCTCTAGAATGTGGAGCATAAATTCTTGGTTTAGCCAAAGTCAGAACAAGGAAGCTATTTGGCTTGATAAACTTTATCTGTTTTTTAAAACATAAATTAACACTGTTAGTATACAAAATAAACAACACAGAGTAACAACACAGGGAAAAACAGAGACATAAATAACATACCGAACAGTAGCTAGAGGATAGAAAAAAATGAGTCAACAAGGCAAATATTAGTTTAGGTGTTGTGGAGATTATTAAGTTTTTGATTGAAATCATGAGTCACTTGAAGCTGGATTTCGTGGATTGGTTAAAGTTAGACATTAACACTATTGGTTGCCGGCCGACTCAGTGGTCTAGTTCGTTAAGCGACTAGAGCGAGACTGATAGGTCCTGGATTCGAGTCTCGCGTGGTGCGGGATCGTTGATGCGCACTGCTGAGGAGTCCCATTCTAGGACGAAACGGCCGTCCAGTAATTCCAGGTTTTCCATGGTGGTCTAGCTTCAATTGACTCATGATTCCAATCAGTGAGATAGATATTATATTTTTCATATATATTTTCCTACCCTTTGTATTTACGGATAGTCCAATAAAATATGTGTTATTCAGGTGAATGACATGATCTCGATTTCAGTTGCGTTGACTTTTGGTGAATGAGCTGTTAGACTGGAACCTAGTAAAGAACAAGTCAATTGTATATTCACTGTTCATTCTATGCAAAAAGTTTCCGATAAGTATTTCAGGACAAATGGAACGTCCTTTCAAAGTTCTTATTTAATGCCGTACTTTTGTAGAAATTAATTCGATCAATCAACCACTTCTTTTTACAAGTTTAAGAACTTGACTTATTCCAAAGTAATAAAAAAGTAATAAATTCTAACCTGTTGTTTTTGAATCTTCTCCTGTAATCGCTGTGAAAGCTTATTTAAGCCATTCTTTCTGATTTGTGAAAATTCATCTAATTCACCTAGTTTGTTAAGAATAAGTTGCAAGTGTGAAATAGTTTCCTCCATATTCTGTCGATAACGAACTAACGATGCTTGTATCGATGAAACTGTTTCAGTGTCCAATTCCTTTTGATTAACTTTTTTTAATTGGGTAAAAATGTTGCGTAAATTGTTCAAAGTGTATCGTGCTTCATGAACGTAATTCAAAACACGACGTCTAAGTGTTTCATGAGAAATACCTATTCGATCTACATCTAGAATAAAAACATTAAAGTTAAATATTTCACCTTATTATCATTATTATTACACAATACAAACTGAACATTTCGGTGAGACTATAATTTATGGACGAACCAATCAGATATGAGACAATAGGTCTCGGATAACCTTCACTTGGTACCAGTTATTAGGCGGACTCCGCCTGGAGTCCCTCCGCGAGCTACTGCCGGTCCCAAGCCCGGATAAAGGAGGAGGGTTGGGCATGGGGTTAGCGACCACATCCCGTAAAAAACTAACCCACTGAAAAACACTAACCAGAAAACATAATTCAAATCATTCAAACTCTGCCCTGAAAGTTAGGTCTTCATTTAGAAGAGTTATGACGCCTCATGGTGAAAGCCGAGATTCTTTTGCCCCGTCTGACAACCAGACCAACTATTAATTTAGGTACATGGAATTCTGGGGGTCATCCAAGTTGCTACTGAAATGAAAAGATACAACCTGGATGTGTTTGGAACTAGTGAAACATGCTGTATGTAGGTTGGACAACAGAGACTAGCTTCAAGGAACCTGCTGTTATACTCCGTCCATGAAAAAGAGAATGTTCCACCTACACAAGGCGTTGAACTGATGCTATCCAGGCCTTTCGCAATCTACTCAGTGGAGAGAACTAACATGAAGAACAATTGGAAGGGGATCAAGGAGGCAACCACTTCAACATGCCATGAGGTTCCGCGTCACAAGAAGCACTATCACAAGGAATGGATCACTGTTAATACACTGGATAAGATTCAAGAAAGGAGGAGCAGAAGGAAAGCAGCAATTAATAACAGCCATACAAGAGTAGAGAAATCCAAGACACAAGCTGAATATACAAAAGTAAACAAGGAAGTGAATAGGAGCATCATGTGTGGAAGATCAAACAATAATGTCGCAAAGGCCACAAGAGAAAGAAACACGGGAAAATTGCATGATGCAACAAAGAAGCTCGATGGAAATTATCGTAAGCCAGAACAACCAGTGAAAAGCAAGGAAGGCAAGGTAATCACCAACACTGAAGAACAACGAGACAGGTGGGCAGAACAATTCAAAGAACTCTTGAATCCACCAGCCCCACTGAACCAACCCAACACGGAAGTAGCGCCCACAGACCTCCCAATCAATATTGACCCATCATCACTTAATGAGATCAGCATAACCATCAGACAAATCAAGAGCGGCAAAGCAGCAGGACCAGCCAACATTCCAGCAGAGGCACTGAAGGCAGAGGTAGCAGTAACTGCAAAGATACTCCACATTCTCCTCAGCGAGATTTGGAATGAAGAACAAGCAAGCGTGAGAACTACAGAGGCATCGCTCTTCTCTCAATACCAGCAAAAGTCATCAACAGAATGAAGGACCCTGTAGACGCCCAAAATCTAGACCAACAGGCTAATGTCCGTAAGAATCGGTCATGCACCGGCCTAATCGCAACATTAAGGATCATCGTGGAACAATCAACTGAATTTATTTCATCACTCTACATCAACTTCATTGACTACGAGAAAGCATATGATAGAGTGGACTGGGAAACACTACGAAGGCGTCTTCGACACTACGGCGTGCCCGAGAAGATATTTAACATCACATGGAATTATTTTGATGGATTAAACTGCTAAATCGTGCATGGAGGGTAGCTCACAGACTCGTTCGAGTTAAAAACCGGTGTCAGGCAAGGTTGCTTACTCAAAAACCCTTCCTCTTTCTTCTGGATTATGAAAACGTCAACATTTGGGAGGAAGTACCAGATACAGTGCACAGATGGGATGCGGCTGGACGACTTGGACTTCGCAGATGATCTGACCAGTGTAGCAGCAGTGCCAGCAGCAATAGGTCTCAACATACACGAAGAAAAAACAAGACTCTCTGATACAAAACAACACGCACCAATCAAATCACTTGACGGCGAAGTTTTCAAGGATGTAGAAACCTTTGCAGATCTGGGCAGCATCATTGATGAACACGGTAGATCTTATGCAGATGTGAAGGCACGGATCAGCAAAGCAAGAAAAGCATATCTAAAATTGAAGAACATCCCGATCTCAAAACAATTTTCAACCAAAATCGACTTCAGAATTATCAATAGGAATGTGAAGACAGTTCTGCTATATGGAGTGGAAACCTGGAGAACTACGAAGGCCATCATCCAGAAGATACAAGTCTTTATTAACAGCTGTCTGAGCAAAATACTTTGAACTCGTTGGCCAGACACTATCAGCAACAACCTACTGTGGGAGAGAACAAGCTAAATTCCAGCTGAGGAGTAAATCAGAAAGAATTACTGGAAGTAGATAGTACACACATTAAGCAAAGCATCCAAATGCGTGAAAATGCAAGCACTTACTTGGAATCCTCAAGGCCAAAGGAGGAAAGGAAAACCAAACAACACATCACGCTGGGAAATAGAGAAGAATGAACGACTATTGCAAAGAACTAAAAAGAAAGGCCCAGAGTGGGTTGGAGAATGCTGCTTGATGGCCTATGCTGCACTACGAGTAACTGGCATAAGTAAGCAGGTAAGTAAGAAATTAGTCAAACATTTCTGAAAGTTTGTTTCCTTTCCGTACATATAGATGCTTTGATCGATACAAAAGCCTCATAAGTTGAGATTTGTAACCAATTTATATATTTTTTAATGATAGAATCATTTTTGGATAAGTCTTTATTTTCAACTCGAACTTTGATTACGTGGCTAGACGCCTGGATAGATTTGACATTATGGTATAATTTATTTTGACATTCGTCTCCCTTAGTTAATAAACTTTAACTCATTTGCAATCTAACGTCATTCTGTACATAAAAGTGCATGGAGATGATATCTTTGATCTCATGAATAAATTTGAACTTATTTTCCATCTGTTTACCTGATCATCTCTCCCATCCGTATGTCTTTTGCTTAGTTAAGGAATCGAATTGTGCTCCAAACCAAAACATACTTGACAATATCTAGTAATGTTGATGAGGCTAGATATCCAGAACTGATCCAGTAAATGTCTTGTTTTTGTGATTTTATTTTGAAAATTTGAATTTATTGTTGTCGCGCCAAAGCGTCCATTTACACATTCATATCGTATTTCCTATCTGGGAGAATCTTAAGTTTTATTGGCTCGTTGTCTCTTTGAACATGCTATTTTGTAACGTTTCTCAAAGACATCTTTATGCGGTATATATTCACTTGAGCTGTACTTGTTGTTTGTGCTTGTGGAAAACATTTTCCCCTCTTCTGAACCTGGACTCCTCTTTCTAGTTAGTGATACAGGTTAGCAGGTTCGGCGAACTCGTAATCTAATGAAGCATCGCAAGTAATTTAACAGTATTGTTGTCATAAGTAGGAGGCAATTACTTTCACTTTTTAATAAAAACGCTGAGGTTATAAGAATATGTAAACACTAATAAGCAGAATATTATACGTTAATTAGTGAGAGAGTTCATTCAGAAAATACTCACACAGATCATGATACCGTGTGGTGAAAAAAATACACCCGAAGTTCAGTGGCTCTTGTTGTATCTACCACAAATCTCTATCAACTCACAAGATTGATATTCACCACTCAACCAACTAAATTTATACTCAAATGAAAATAAACGGAGGTATCATCTGTGACAAATGTTTGAAATTGATGTAAAGGACAGTGAATAACTCACCAATTACCTGTATTCCACTAATCAAAAAAGACTGCGATTTGCGGTTAAATATTTACCTATTCTTCCAAACACAGTGGAAGTACTTTCATTCGTTTACGTAGATTGAATGAGTGAATCACCTAACTGATTGATATCTTGGATTTCATTACAATAAAATGTGTTAAGATGTTTCCATTATCTTTCATGCCATTTTGTCATCCATCTGATCGAAGTGTGTAAATTTACAAGTATGTTTAACATGACACAATATATTTACCATCATATGAGATGAATAAAAATTACATATTTTATTAGACAATGTATAATCCATATTAGAAATGTTCAAATCTCAGTATTTCACTGCCTATTTCTCAAACATTTAAACTAAAATTTACTTGTTTCAACTTAAAATGATTTACTTTAAAGCATTATTTAAAAAAAGAACTAGAAGGCGCTCAGTAACAAGAGATCAACGCAGAGATAATTGCTGTACCTATTTCACTGATACACGTATGCAGATAAATTTCGCATCTTTAGGAGAGTAAGAGGAACTTGTGGAGATAGTGTATCATAAAAGTCCAATATTCTACTGAACACAGTAATGAATAAAGTCACTATCATTCTTATTACTACAACTATTATTAAATAACGAACAATAAAACCTACTTGTTATCTGATCCTTCTTCTTTGTTCTGATTGAGGTACTTTCACTGAAACAGAAAAGTTAAAAGTTCTTTAGTATTATCTAATAAAAGCTGGATTTTGTGTAAATGTTGTTATGGTGATGTTAGTTGTTTTTTGATGTTTATTTTCCTGAACTACATCGTTCAATAGAATAGTACGGGTAACTAACAATACTTAAGTAAGAAATTAAATAACCGGAAGTGTACTCATTATTAATGTCCGTTAGTACTATGAATACATCGTTCAATACTTTCTTTTTGTTATCAATCAAACTATGATTTTCTTTTTTTAAACAACCAAGCAGCCTCGAAAGCAGGAATTCAATTACAAAATCAGATTAGTTACATTGGAAGTAGTGGTTAATAATTAATATAGATTTATTGATGATGGATTGTCTTGGCAATTTCTAATATATGTACAACGTCCGACAGTTTAGGCATCAACACCTTGACACATCCACACAAAGCTCAAAAACATTCCCAGTAAGGATAATTTTACTGGATATCCCGAAAAGAATAGTTAATTAAACTAACAGGTACCATGATGATACATTATTGACACAGGCTTGGATGATTAACTAATAAATATCAAATGATGAATTATAGAGTAAAGATGTAAGTAAATACTTTATTAGCTACTCTTCCTTAAACAAACTACATACTGGAAGACGAAATACCCAAAATTAAACTTATTTTGCGCAACAGCTTTATCCAGTTGATAACGAAGACCACTTTTTTACTCACTCCATCGTGAATGAGTTTTTTAAACGGCATTCAAAATACCAGATGTTCTTAAACAAATCCAAATTTGATTAGTATAATATAAAAAAGTGATATTTTTACTCACATGAGGTCAAATAATCTACGAAGATGAGAAATCTCAGCTGAGACCCAATCCACTGCCTCTCTTGAAACTGATACGTTATTATTCAGGCTTTCCCAGCACACATCTTTTTTCGATGATGTCTTCTTTCTGAAGTAATCTCCGATACAAATAATCAAAAGTGGTAAAAGAGGTAACCATATAACAACGGAGAAATTGAATTCATGTCTTGAATGTCTGCAAGAACGAATGAACAGACTGTAAAAATATCTTACCGCATGATTTCGTATTTTGGCCTTCGAAAATTTCTGTGCTTTTTTCCCCCCATACTCTAAGATGAAATTGAAAATCTCCCTGAGATAAGTTGTTGTGTGGCGTCGAGTCGCGGTTGACTATGATCACCACTACAGGAAGACTACGTGCCAGTTAACCGATAAGACCCCCCGTAAGCCAAATATCAGAAGGCAGTTGATGGCTGTAGTCGTGATGTATTTGTTGGCGATCTCGTGGTATCGCAAGAATACCGAGATCGTACCAAAGCAGTAGCTACTGAGCCTAACCGAATTTGCGCAAGGTCACAACCGACAGAAAAGTGTATGTGTTTTGGTACAGTTAAACAAACAACTATGGAAAAACGATTCCTGGTACAAGTGGATATAATAATTGTTTCCATGACACCAATCGCATTCTCTTAATAAAAATAGGTCATTACAAAGTAAACAAGAAAAGAAAACCGTACAAAAAAACTCAGAACATGTGTGTTTTCATTACAATTAACCCATGGACGAAGAAGTTAAAAGAGGCATTCTCAGTCAAAATAGTGGCGTGCTGCATTGTATATAGCAGTGCTTATATTGCAACACTATCAACGTTTTCAATAATGGCTATTTACATATATGCAACGTCGTACATTGGTTGAAGTTGCCTCTCCTCATTAATACAGATAGATAAAATCGTCAGGGCAAATCCCTGAACAATAGAGGCAGTACCAGTACTCACGGTAACTGAAAAGACGTGTTATCAAATAAACGATTAACAACACGAACTACTGAAACCCATTTTTTAGGAATTAAGTAAGTTAGGACCTGTGAGGAGAAAAGAGTGAATGCACATGCGTCATTACAAAGGATTTTGATCCATGTCAGTCTTCAGCAATAAGGATAGGAGATCTATCGACGTATATTAATTCTTGCAGTTTGTGATATTGTGGAGGTTCAATCTCGTTTTGAATATATTAAGAGGTATTGATATTACGTGTTCCGGTAGAGAATTCCAGTAATTCACTACTCCGTGTGAGAAACGAAACTCCAGACGTAAACGATTTGATCTCGTTTTTTGAACACTCTTCGGATGTCCTCTCAATTTATCAGTCTTAGACGGAAGCAAAAGATAAGACATGTTAACACAAAGGTCATCTTTCAGTATACGATAAGCTAATATTAGATCACTTCGTACTCTACGGTAAGATAACGGAAATAAGTTAAGGTGTCTCAGTCTGTCTTCATAAGATAAGTCAGATGGACATTGTACTATCTTAGTACCTCATTGTAGGACTCTTTTCAGCATCTCTGCTTCATACTTGAAACAAGGACTCGCTGCTTGAACCCTGTATGCTAAATGTGATCGCGCATAAATCGCGTATAATAATCTAAACATTCCATCATCTAAATACTTGAAATTCCTACGAATAGACCGTGATACCCTGTAGGCTTTTGCAGTAGCAGCCTTACAGTGACTAGTGGTCTTGAGATCACTGTTTAATATGACTCCTAAATCTGTATAGTTTCTTGCTTTGGGTAGCACGAATTCACGTAGTATATAGTCATACGATTCATCTGAGTTATTTAACAGCATCACTACAGTCTTATTAGGATTTACTTCTAGTGACCACCTGTCTAACCAATGGGTTAAGATCGTCCTTCATTACTATTCTATCCGACATACTATGTATGGGTCTCCAAATCCTTATGTCATCAGCGAAGAGTAAAACGGATGATTTTGCTACAGTCGGCAATTCATCTACATAAAGTAAAACGAGAAGGGGACCTAGGATTGTACCTTGGGGAACCCCACTTTTTACAGGTACCCACGAGGAGAGAGCCCCATTAACCCTTCCCCTTTGTCTCCTGTCATGGAGAAAGTTACTTATCCAATCGACGTCTATATAATGGATTCCACAACGTTCCAGTTTGAATTTAAGAACAGAATGGGAAACCTTATCGAAGGCCTAACTTAGATCTATGAAAATCACATCGACAGGGGCATTCCGATCCTTTGCCGCAGCCCAATCTTCTCGGGCAATGAGAAGATTTGTCAAGCAAGATACGCCTTTTCGAAAACCATGTTGTGCCCTGGAGAAAAGATTATGCCCTTCAACATAGTTTATAACAGATATCCGAATGATTTTTTCTATCTGTTTTACAACTGCACTAGTTAAGCTAACGGGTCTATAGTTACTAACTAAATCCCTCCCCCCAGCCTTATACACCGGACTTATTATAGCGTCTTTTCAGTCTCTTGGCAGTCTGGGCCGCCCTAGAGACATGTCAAGCAGTATCGCTAATGGTTCAACAATTTCATCTGATATGGCTTTCATAATCCTAGCATGAATATCATCAGGACCACTGGACTTATCAGGTTTGAGATGCTGAAGTAGCCTTAAAACGATACCTTTCTCAATGACTACAGGGTCCATCAGCGAGCCGCCGCGATCACAATGAATCGTTGGTCGTTCCTCATAACCGATAGAAAACACTTCACTGAAATATTCCAATAATGCTTAAGCATTTTCGGTATCATTTTCTGTCAAGACTAACGGATTCTCTTGTGTCAAAAGTGATGTAATTCCATCGCTTCTCGGAGTTCGCCTTTTTATATACGAAAATAACCGTTCCGGACTATATCTAGAATCCCTAACCAAATGTTTTTTCATATGATCATCTAGTCTTACTTATTAACGCTTTGCAGGTATTCCTAATCTTACAATAACTGGATCTGCATTGTTCTAAGCCAGTAGAGATTAACATATTCCAATGCTTCTTCCTTTTCCTAAGAAGTTATCCATGGTGGACTGTTATTCGGTCTTCGTAGCACCAGGTATGGTATGAACAGGGACGTAACTAGACTAAACTTACCTTTAAATACAAACCATGCTTCTTCAACTGATAAGCTAGTATCTACAAACCAATCTGTCTTCGCAGCGCATTCCTGAATGTCTGATATGTTAGCTCTCCGTACATTTGGGTGGGGTGTATGCTGATCGTATATCATGTCCCTAGTTCTAAACGTGAGTGACAGAACAGAGTGATCGCTATTCACTAATGGCGGAAAAATATTTAGGTCGACAATATCCTCATTATCATGAGTGATTGCCAAGTTCGACAGAGAAGAACCTTGGTTAGCACCAAAACGTGTGGGTTTGGATACATGCTGCACTAGTGCATGCTCCATTATTGTTACCAGGAACCTACTATCAAAGGAGTTTATAGATCCGTCCGTGGTCATCTCAGTCCAACTAATATCAGGTGCATTAAAGTCTCCTATTATCAAGCATCTGGTATTTGCACTCCAAAGATGAATGTGCTCTAAAGTAAAGTCATCAGCTAAGCAGATTGGGCTGCGATAGATGACACCTAACATAAATGTATTACATCCGATAGCCAATTTACAGCTAATGATTTCACAAGTACCGTTATCATAGGATTCGCTAGCAGAGGAGCGGATATTTATATTATTGGCTATATATAACAGGACGCCACCTCCTTTTCTACACCCATGTCTATCACTCCTGAGGTAATGGTATCCGGATAATTCTAGAGTAATGTCTCAGTCATGGACTAATCAAGTTTCTGTCACTGCTACAATGAGTGCCTCTAATCTGTCCATAAATTCTTCTAGTTCATAGAAATTATTTCTTAGACTACGAGAGTTGGCATGTAAAACTCTTAAGTAGAACGGCCTATCCACACAGGCCTTGGTAGCATTCGCTTCCAAGACTTGACTATCCGGAAACCTACTAGCCGGAGATTTTCCTCACCATTTTGCCGATGGGTTTCTAGTTCAGCTAGTGCCTTCTTCCTTTTTATTCTATCTTCAAGGGACATATCGGGTCATACTCGGATGTCGGAATTGTCGTGACTGCGAGCGCTACCTAACAGAAGATCACGTTGCTTCTCACACCCTAGGGTTACCTTAAAGAGTCTACATGGTCGGGGTTCAATACTGTCCTCGATCCTCTTACATATTTTAAACAGTTTTTGACCTGAACTCCTAAGAAGTTATCTAGTATGATGCTACGAACATATTTTCCAACTTCGTTAAATCATGTGCGTGTCTAATTTTGGGATCAAGATCGTTTGATTCCAGCAAATTGCTCACAATAATATTCGATGAGATTGCATTCTTCTTCTCAGTCAGGCCAGGATGGGTTTCCCTCTTACTATCAGATTTTGGAAGTGCATTTTGTGACTCACAATAAGAGTCCACCAGTGACTTGCTAACCACCTTCGTACTACCCACAGCGTTTTCTTCGTTTCGCTTTCTCCGTACCGTAGTTCATTTTTCATCCTTCAGGACACTTGGACTGTTTGAAACGATGACAGTTTCATCCAGATCTTCAGTTTCTACTAGAGGTGCAAGGTTATCTATGTCAGTGTCAGGTGGTACTACTCCCCTCGTTAATGTTAACGGAGATTTCACTTTTCTCTCAGTCAAAGTCGGTTGTTTAAGGAGTCTCGTAAAAGCGGGTACTAAACTGATACATTCGTCACTGTCAGTGCTCGTGTTATCAGCGCATGCGCCATCGTTCTTCTTACAGGCCAAAGCCAATAGGCTCATAGCCTCCCGTATTATTAACCTCTTATTTGCACAGCAAAACATACAAAGCCAATGTGAGTTAGGCTTCGAATATCTTTTGTATGCGATGGGACTAAAACGAGTGCACATCCTATGGAACTACTTTTTGTATTCATCACACTGCATTCCTTCCTCCACGGGAAGCAAACAGTTTGGTTGCCCACATTTATGGGGACTATCGACCATTTTAGCCAGAGTAAGGTGTTGTAGGGCCAGTGAAATGTCACTGAGCCCTGGTCAAATCATCCGGCAGTTGGAACACTGAATGTCGAACAGATCATCGCTCCCTGCCAAGGTCATGTACAACCAACGCACATAAGTTAATCGTATGCCATGGACTGGCCCATGCGGCAGTGGTCTTACTTTCGCTTGTATCTACTTTAAATAATATATTTCTGTAATAACGTCCTTTGTGTTGTACAGTCTTCAAAGCATCTATAGTACCTTGATACGTCAATGGGAGTAGTCCATGTAAGATGCTGACCACGAGGTGTGACTTCGACGTTAGTTGGTTCGTCACACCATTCAAGTCTAACTCGAGTAGACCTCCACTCATTTCGACATAGATCATCTACGTTGGTGATCTACAGAGTAAAACACAATATGCTCACAATACGAACACAGTGTCAGTCAACGAGTAAAAGGGTACCACAAGACAAACTTTAGCAAGATTTCAAACCTTAACTAAAGTATTTTGATTCAGACCAAAAACACTTTAACTGAAACAAATTCAATCAAAT